ATATATATATATATATATATATATATATATATACTATATATATATATATATATATATATATATATATATATATATATATATATATATATATATATATATATATATATATATATTTATATATATATATATAGTATCTATATTTTACTTTTAATTATCTGGTGATAGATGAAACAATTAAAAAACAACATTTACATTGTTTTATATGATAAAGTTTTATTTGTTTTATTTAAACTTTAAGTTAAAAAAGTTGTTAAGAAAATTAAAGGCTTTTAGTTAATAGTTCAATTGTAAAACAACGTGGTTTATAAGTTTTAACGATCTTATTTAAATACGAAATATAAGAAAAGCTTAGCATTCTATTCGATATTTAACATACTTTAGGATATTTTGAGTTATTGGATCTCATGGTGAATTTGTCTTTTGTCGTAATATCCGCAACTTACAGATTGATATTTTTGCTAGGCTATGTTTTCTCTGCTATTTTTTTGTCTGTTAATATAGCAGACAATAACTGATAATTCCGCTTCTTTATAAGAATTTTTATCCAAAGAATGACTGTTATTGAGCCTATAATAAACGCTTTTAAAAACGGAATTGCACTTGGTGTTAACTGTAAAAACGCTCTGTCGCCGACAAAAAAAAATAACTGTAGTGGTATTGCACCATTAAAATTTTACGCTGCTAATACTATTTTAGAAAATCAAACAAACATCAAAAGATTTTTTTTATTAATTAAAATAAAAAAGTGAATAAATACGAAATAATTATTTATTATTCAGCGTGTCAATTAACTACTTATTGTTCATGCGTTAAATCTTTATCTGACTGAATTATCTGACTAAAGTTTGTGTGACTAACGTTTGGGCGTATTTTTCCTGCACTATTGTCATGCTCGTGCGACTTTTTTAATCTTGAAATTACTTTATTTTTTTTTTTAACAAAATTAAGAACTGGCACTTTAACTTGCATCTAAAATGTTTTATTTGATATTGTTGAATTTAAAATGTTAATATTGTTCTATAATGGTTCCTATAGGACTTGTTGTACTTTTGGTGATTAACGAATGTGTAATTTTTTATACCTACTTTGAGTATTTTTTTTAACAAAAAGTTACTTTTAAAATAAAAATTATTTTCCTTGCGATTTTTTGAGGAGATATGTGTCTTATTTTAATTTGTTGATTTTGTCAGATACTTGCGTAAAATTTATTTAAAAAATTGTAAAACAAATTTTTAAAAAATAAAAAAATCTCTAAACTGTCTAAAAATAAATAAGTAATTTTTACTACTTTTACTCTAACGAAACCTAATAAATAGTGTTAATTTATGCATATTATATGCATAAAAAAATTTATTTTTTTATATTTATGAAATAAAAATTTTTGTGTGTTTAGATTAATTGATTTTTATATAAAAAGAAAAAAGTAATATTACAAAAAAATTAAATATTGTTCCTCTGGACTTCGTTTCGCAAAAATATTGCTTGTTTTGCAAAAACACCCTAAGTTAGACTGATAAAATTGAGATTTAAATTTGATATTAGTAATCATAATAATAATAGTAATAAAAATAATATTAATACAAGGATATAGGTAGGGATGGATATTTTACTTTTTTTAATTACACGAGAAAGTTAATTTTTATCAAAAAGTAAATAACTTAAGTAACTTTAAAAGTTCTATATAAATTTACATTTCCGTATAAGTAGTTAATTTTTTTGAAACGACTTATATTTTATAATATAAGTTTTTTACTTTCAAAAGTAATTTATGTAAAAAAAGATTACATTAAAAAGTAATTTACTTTTACATTAAAAGTAAGTTACCTGAAAAAGCTGTTTACTTTTACATTTGAAAGTTAATTACTTTTGAAAACTACCTTACTTTACATAATATAAAATTTCCTCAAACTGTAATTTACATTTACCTATAAAAGCAACTTACTAAAAAAAAATTATATTAAAAAATAACTCGCATATGAAAGTAAATTACATAAGTGTAAATTGCTACCAACTGTAAATTAAATTTACAATTAAAATAATTTTGTTAAGTAGGAATTTTTTATTTTAAAAATTATAAAAAATCTTTATTAAAAATAAACTATATAAAATAAAATTTAAATTACATATATTTCTTCCCTGTAAAGTTTGAAAATATCAATAATAGGTTTCTTTCCATGATTAAAATCTTCTCTAGTTCCGGTCCATGATAAGCTATAATAACCATTCTCTGAATCAAACCGTTTCAAAAATATTCACTCTCTGGCCAACCATTTGAAGGGTTTGGAATTTAGACAAAGCTGAAGAAAGGAAGTTAGCAGAAGGCACTTATACCCATGGGAAACTCAGAAAGGTTAGTTTATTTGAAAGTAAAAAAATTGGCCTAATTGGCCATTGTATAATATACGTAGAATCCGAGCTGTAGCTAAGCAATGATTTATACCTAGATTAATAAATAATATTAAGAAATAATCTTAATTAAATAATCCAGTGATTGGAGCCTGGAAAAAAAAATCCTAAAACATTTACCATCCCTACCCCAAATGGGAATGCAACAAATACTTAACTTTCATTTTTTATTTTCTTACCCTAAATTCGGCAGGATTTAAAATTCATAGTATATAAAGTTTACATCCAAACCGAATAAGGTGGTTGTTTCAACATTTTCCTAAATATTCTATTGTGATTTAACAAGAACATACTTAAGTTTGGCAGTTAAGTATGTTTTATTTACCGAAATTATATTTATTAACCAAAATCATTGGTTTTTCATAATTATTATAATATTACATCTCAAAATTTACGCAAATAGACATCATTATATTATTGGTAACTATAAAATCTATAAATGAATTTAACATGGTTTTTAACAACACATTAAAAGACGTCATTTGTATGTAACTAATAATAAAACTAATAGTTAAAGATACTATTGATTAAGTTATTATAATCGGTTTGGTGATTAAAAATATCGCTGCATTTTAAATTATGAAACCATTGCTTTTCACGCGACGCATCAATTGTATTTTAATCAAATTAAAATTAAATCTTGTTTTTTGTTTTATTTTTATTTTTATGAATAATATTTTTTAAACCATTTTACTTATATATTAAAAAAATTAAATTATTCAAAATTTCTGTTATATATGCAATATTTCTTCTGTTTTAGTATGTTATTTAAAAAAAAAAATTTCTTTTTCTTAAATATCATACTAAAACAGGAGAATTTGGTATTTCAGCTATATATATATATATATATATATATATATATATATATATATATATATATATATATATATATATATATATATATATATATATATATATATATATATATATATATATATATATATAATTTATATATATATATATATATATATATATATATATATATATATATATATATATATATATAATTTTTCAAGTGAAAAATTTATTGCGCCAAGCTTTAAAATTTTGTTTCTTTTTTCCTTCATTTTCATTCATTAATTTCATTCAAGATAAAGGATTTTAAATTTAATAAAGGTTTTTCATATATTTAAAGAGCTTGATAATTTTTGGATTAAATTCAGATTTATTGATCAAAACTTTGTTAAGACTAATATAAAAAAAAAAATCTTGAATAAAATTTTTTTTTTCAATTTAGGGTTAATTTCACATGCATAAATAATTTATGCTGTGTTATTTTTGTACATAGCTACAAGAATGGATAATCTACAATAACAGGTCGTTATTAAATGTAATTTATTGTTTTGAACTTTTATGTTAAAAATTGGACATTTGATCCGCTGATATTACAAGATACGTTAAGATAATTATGGAAACGGTTTGTAAGTGCGTTGGAGTTAGATCAACTAAAAGACAATTTATTTTATCAAAAAATTGAAACAGCAGGTTGAGAGGAATGTAAAGAGAAATAAGATGTAGCGATTGTTCAAAAATGCCAAAAATAGCTTATTACTTTAAAAAGAATATTTATTCTAAGTACAAGGTTGCCAATAATAAAATAGTTAGTTTAAATAAAAAAACACAATTGCGTATACAAAATAGATTATTTAGAAGATTAACGCAGGAAACAAACTGTCAACAGATCTTTTATTTGACTTTACAAAACTGCTGTTTTGTAAAGTCAAATAAAAGTTTATAAACAAAAACTACAAGAACTAAATCACTACAACCATCAACTAAAAAACAAATAAAATAAATATTTTTTTAATTGATATTGCCTTAGCTGTTCAACTAACTTTCTTATAATCTATTATGTAGTATTTGATATTGTAAGAGCGATTAAGTGTATTTATAGCCATAAAAAGCTAGAAATATGTAAAGATGTAAACTCTAGTTTGAGAGATAGAGACTCTTTACTAACATAAGTATTATGGTAGTAGACAGTGATTAATACTATTTATCAAACTGCTAATTTTATTGCTGCAAATTTCAATAATTACAATATTAGTAGAGGGCAGATTTGCTTATAGACATTAAATGAGATAAATTATTAATTACTTTTAATTAACTATTTTCTTTTTACATTATAATCTTTGAGATTCTTCAAAGTTCTAATTCTTTAAGTTTTCATAACAAAGCAGTGTTAATAACTAATTGTAAAAAGTACAAATCAATAACACACAAAAATATTAAAACGTGATGATTCTAAAATTAATTTGAATAAACTTTATACAAATTAATTTTAGAAAGCGTGAAGATCTTTACGGTTTTAAAGACCCTTTAAAACCGTAAGTTTTTCATAAACTATTTGATAAATACATTCTCAGTAACAGTTTTAAAGCTAAACAGTATAATGGCTGTATGTAATATTCACTAAGCTTTATTAGCTTCAACTAAGCTTTTTTTAGATAATTTTTCTGACCTTTTATTTATGCTCTTCCACGAGTTAACGTGGAAAAGACTAGACTCTTACCCACATGTAGCGTAACTTCCGGTATTTAAAAAGGGTTTTAAAATCACTATTCAGTTTTTTAAACTAATCACTTCTTGTCATTTAACGCTGAAGCTATAGCATGTTTGTCAAGTGTTGTTAAATTGCATAGTCTTTAAACTTTTAATTGGTAAGTTTTTTTACGGTAGAGCTTTAGTTATGTAATGTTATCCATACTTATCAACTCTAATAAAAAGCATTTACAGGTGTAAACATCTGATTTTTTAAAGTGATATATATATGTATATATATATATATATATATATATATATATATATATATATATATATATATATATATTATATATATATATATATATATATATATATATATATATATATATATATATATATATATATATATATATATATATATGTATGTATTGTCAATTACGGTAAGCAATATTTTGATAACAAATAAAAATCTAACCTAAGTTCCTCTGCCTAATTTTCTTTGGTATACCAAAAAAAAGATTCATTACCCCATAATGTAAACGATTATTTAACTACTACAGTAGTAAAAAAATCATATTAAAAATGTGAAATAGTTAGTCACGGGGAATAATGCGTACTCTCTATTTAATATATTTTCATTTGGAAGAGGAGAGGTGGGGTTAAGAAGAAGAAGGGTACATAAAAAACATTTTTTCCAAAAATATTTTATTACTTATGAAATTTTTTTATTATTATTTTAATTTCTATTTGTTCTTTAAGAGTTGCGTTATAAGGAAAAATTAAAAAAAAAAAAAAACATGCATTTTTTGAATAATTATAACGAAAAATAGTTTTGGGGCAGTAGTTCACCTTGTGTCTATTCGGGACTGCTAGATTTTTATAAAAAATTTAAAAAAAGTTTAAAATGACTGCAATGGTACTAGCAAAAAAATTATGATGCGATCTTTACATCAAAGCTTTTATTCCTTCTTTTATGGCCTAAAACCTGTAAATCTGAAACAGTAATTGTGCGGCCGCGGCGCAGTGGTTACAGTGATAGCTTTGTAAGCTGGAGATCCGGGTTCAAAACGAGCTCTGGACATATTATCGCGTCACGATAAAGAAGGAGGCGTGAAATTCCAGGTTAAATGCACGTCTACGGTGCTCTGTGACAAGAACGTCATTAGGTCTTCTTGAGGCACCTAAATAACAAAAAAAAAAAAAAAAAATAAATGAAAAAAAAAATGTATACATTTTCGGAAAAATAGAAGAAAAAGTAATTATTTGATATATTTTTCCTGGTGGCTGTCAGCAACCGCTAGAAATTTTGAAAAATGTCTTAAATATGTTAAAAATGAGGGTAATTGTGCAAGTAAAATAGATATGAAGCTATTTTTTAACAACAAATTAAAGTTTTGTAAACATCATTTTACATGAAACATTATTTTACAGTTTTTTAGCCTAAACAACGCTTATTAGATTTAAAGTTTTTAAATTATTTGAAGTCTAAAAATACTCCAATAATCTAATTGAAGTCTAAAAATACTCCAATAAATCATGATAATTCACGGAATAATCATTCACGGAATAATTTTAACATTAAAAGCGCATTTTACTTCTAATAAAGCTTTTGTATGTGTGGTTGCATTGTCAACGAGAATATCAATTCAAATATTTACTGACTTCATTATTGTCGCTTAATTTTGTAAAAAAAGTTATAAAAGAGCGACTTTTCAAAAATAAATGCTCTAATAAATTTATTTTGCTTTAATTCTTTTCGCGTTAAAAGCTATTTTTAATTTTTTAACTGTCTCCATCGGTCCAGTTAATCTAAATACGCTTTTTTGTTTGTTTTTGAAATGCTCTCAAAGCGACTAAAAAATCTGGCCGGTTTTTCGCGACTAAATAATATTTTCGTGGTCAATTATCGAGTGCGATCGCACCTGCTTCCCGACCAAGCCTGATAATTAGTGATATGTTTTTTTCTATAAAAAAGATTTTTTATGATCCTTTTGGACCCTTTATAAATCGAACCACGATTTTTTGTTACCAACAAGTTTGGAACGGAAACATTATAATTAACTAGAAAAAACAAAAAATGATTTTTGTTCAATATGTGAATTTATGATGCTGTGCATCATAAATTCAAATATTAAACAAAATTAAATTTACAATTTAAAAAAATTCAATTATAAACACAAAAAAAGAAAATACAGCATTAGTGACTGGACTAAACATGAGAAATTGCTGTCGAAAATATAATACCAGTTACGTTTTAAAGTAAATCCGTATGCTATAAAATAATTTATCTAGTATAGTAATTAAAAATAAGTAATTTTAAAGTAATACCAATATTAAAACAAAACAATAAAACATTGTCAATATTTAATGTATGAAACTGAATTGAAAAAAAAAACTCCAATTAAACCAAACCACAAAAATCACGGTATATAGTAACGTCACGGTATATAGTAACGGTATATAGTAAATCACGGTATATAGTATATAGTAACATGCTCTATGACCTTGCAAAATATCCCCAGAATTTTTTTTTGTTTATCGTCAGAAAAATCCACCGTATTTCTAAAATATAACAAACAACATTTTTATTTGGGCCTGGAAGAATTTCGTATTTTAGACGGGTACTTAGTAATTTTGTTGTTTAAAATAGGTAAATAAGAGCCATGCGACACATTTAAATTTCTAGTATTTGATACTGGTATCAAATGAGGATGAATTGCAAAATATTTTGGCAATTAGAGCTCACCAAACCCCGTCCCGACTCCTATTTGGCCCTTTCTTAGAACTTCGTCTGCTAAGAATATAAAAAACTTTCTTTTAATTTCTAACATGAACTAAATCAAAATTTATCAACGGAATTTTAAATTCATCAAAAAATCTCCTTTCGTTTAAGGTTTTTTGACAATAAGAAGTTTAAATTTCTGCTCATTTACCCCCTGAAATAACTTTGAATAGTCGTTACGTTTAAACCAGAAGTTTCTTTTTTGATTAAGTTTAACACCTGCCAATGAATTTCGATATTGTTAAATATATCACAAAAGTAAACTCAAAAATTCCTTTTAGGAACCATACCCTAAGAGTGGGCCGTTAGGTTTCCAATAGGGTGAGGTACAATTACTTTATTGCCGTAAAAAAAATTTTCTGGTCTATTTGGTTAGATTATTATTTATATTTGCGTGTCATTTATTATTATACCATATATCAAAAAACCATGGAACATAAAGGAGGTCAATATTGTAATTTTTTTTATAACCTGCAAATCGAAGGCTGCTTTTGTTTGTAAATGTATCCAACCACTGCATTTTTTTTAGTTTAATTTAATTTTAACTGTGCTCTTCACCTTTTCTTATTCGCTAAAACTGATTAAAATCCTGGTGAACGGTTCCGAGAGATTGTTTGGTTCAGTTACCTAAACCTAAAGAATATAAAATGCACAAAATAAACTCTAAACTATTTAATAAACAACCCTCATAGATTATGCAAGTATAAACTTGCATAAACTGTTGTTATATTGCAATGCATTGTATGTATATATATATATATATATATATATATATATATATATATATATAGTATATATATATATATATGTATATATATATATATATATATATATATATATATATATATATATATATATATAAATATATATATATATATATATATTTATATATATATATATGTATATATATATATATATATATATATACATATATATATATATATATATATATATATATATATATATATATATATATATATATATATATATATATATATATATATATATATATATATATATATATATATATATATATATATATATATATATATATATATATATATATATATATATATATATATATATATATATAGTCTTGCATGGCAGTCACAGAGTTTTTCCCCATAAACCGTTGTTTTAAAGAGCGCGTTTATAGGCGCGTTAATAATCAGAAAATGTTAAAAAACAAAAAATATTTTTTTTTGAAATGAGAGACTGCCTGCCCAAACCAAACCCTCAGTCGATGTAGCAGCACTACCTTGCGAGTCCGGCTATTTGTCAGTCGATGTAGCAGTAATCCTTTGCGAGTCAGGCTATAAGATAGTCGATGTAGCAACACTCCCTTGTAGCAGCAGGCTATGAGATGTAGCAACACTTACGCATGTTTTAAAAATGTTTTTTAAAAAAACAAAAACAAAAACACGACTTATTAAAAAAAACTTTCTAGTCATTATTATTGCATTTTTTCAAAAACAATAAAATCTAATGTACTTTCGCATTAATTAAATTGCTTTGACATTTCAATGACAATCAAATACAGCTTAAGAGACAAGGTAATAAAAAATGTCGTCGAAATAGACTTTTTATTACCATAAAAGTCTCTTTCGACTACGCTATAAGGATATACATATAATGTATATATATATATATATTTATATATATATATATATATATATATATATATATATATATATATATATATATATATATATATATATATATATATATATATATATATATATATATATATATATATATATATAAATATATATATATATATATATATATATATATATATATATATATATTTATATATATATATATATATATTTATATATATATATATATATATATATATATATATATATATATATATATATATATATATTTATATATATATATAAGGAAATAAAAAGTGGGGTGCGGTATTTAAAATATTTTGCAATAATACTTTTCAGTTATTCTTAAAAGAAAACGACATGCATCCATTTCCAAAAAAGTATAATATCAACTACAAACATATTTTACTAAAATTTAAAATTAAAAGAATATTTTACAATTTAAAAATAGCTTAACGTTTTCCAAAGTAAGAAAATCTAGCATCTTTAATTTTTCCATTACATAAAATTTTTTGCTAAAGCTTTTACATCTATTTCCGCGGTGTTCAATTTATAAAATTGAAGAAGTAGAAGATGATTCAATCGCTTCTGAGTCAATGTCGACCGACTATATGACTTTATTATTCTTAGATGAGAGAAAGATTTCTCGGTTGTGCAGGAAGTCAATGGTTTTGCTAAGAAGATATTTTAGAAGTTTTTATATTTCAGAATACATTATTGAGACTCATTTACAGTCGTTTAACATATCAGTTATAGTTGTGATTGATGTTACCTGTTTAATGTTCATTTTATATGTAATGTTATAAGTTTTCATAATGGATTTAAATAGAAAGAGTTCAGCTTTTAACTTTTCATAAACTATATCATTTTTATAGAAAACCTTTGTATTATCTAAAGCTTTTATGTCCTTATCACCATTTGCGGTGGACAATTATAATCTTTCTAAAGTAATTATTGATTCCATTTAATTTTCTGGGATACGCTGATTTAATTGACTTTCTATAACATCAACTACCTTGTAATACTGAGCTTGGTATATTCCAATGTGTCCCGTTTGTGAAATTTCAAAGCATTATCATCAAAGCGAGAAGGAGTTAAACGTCGGCAAGGCAAAGAAACATCAGGTAAATTGCAACCAAATTTCTTAACTCTTTCAGTAACACAAGATTCAAAAAATGATTTCAAACATGTTTCTGATCTCACAGATGATATATAAATTTTTAATAACATAATTAATAAAGAAATTGTTTGAGCATCTATTTCAGCAGATTGCATATGTTTAGAGACTTGCTCTACGGTTGCAAACACATCATAAGCCAGACGAAGCCCAAAATAAAATTGAAATTATAATAATTTATCAAGTAAACCTTCTTCTTTAGCTCTGTTAGGATCATTTTACTCAGAAACTTTTTTAAACTCTAAAATAATTACTTAAAAATTTGTCAAAATTGTACATATGGTTTGGTCCTTGCAATAAAACAAGTTGGTTAAGGTTTGGTCCTCGCGGTAAAACAAGTTGGACAAGGAGCACTAAAATTGATTTGCTTGACATCCTTCTCAAATATATCGGGTTGTAATTTTTAAACCGTATCGGTCTCTTTGACGCTAAACAAATAAAATTATACAGCATCTGGCAAAATTCTTGTACTTCGTTCATACAACTGACTCGTTTACAAGTATATTAAAGAACAAGGTTAAGCCGATGTGCGTAACATATATAAAAATTGTTTCATTGACATCATCCTGAAATAGTTTAGCAACACCATCTAGATCCCCTGACAAAGAAGCGGCATCATTGTAACTTCGCCCCCCCCTCCCCCCGCAATATTTCCTTTATCTTGTCCACATCTTAGTAAAACATTTATTTTTATTTTTGTATAACTAACTCTTATTATTTTGTCTTTGATTTTTTATATTTATAACTGATTTATTTTTGAAAGAATAAGAGTATTTTGTATTATATTACGGAACTTAATTGTAACAAAAACGGAAAATTAAAAAGTTAACAAAAAAAAATAAATTAAAACATCACACATTGCATAAAAAAGCGACTTATTTTTGGTAGCATCACTTCATAGAGACCATAAAAATCTTCGCATATTGTGAAATTTTTAGAAACTGATTGAACGCATATCGACATTTGCTCAATACCGAAAATGTCTCACGTTTTATCGCATATTACAAAAAAAAAAGATCTCGATTTAATAGCACTAAGTACATTTCTTAACAAATAATTTGCAATTAGTTCTAACATCTCGTTAACAATATCATGAGAGATATACTTACTATTTGACAGCCAGCTCGATAGAGATGGATAATCTTCACTCCTTATTAAAAGTAACTGATAAAGATTGTCTTTAATTTCGTCATTCCGTCGAAAAGCTAAGCTTTGTTGAGTAACACATTTTAATGTAGAGATTACACGAACTAAGCACTCGTAATGTTTATCACATTGCTTATCAAACATTTCAATAAAATACTTACATTTTGGAATGACTTAGATGAATCCAAGGATAATCTATAACCCATTATTCATTGAAAAACCTAAATTGTTTGCCGTACATTTTTTTTTGCTTCAATATCGTTAGGGTTTATTACTTTTTTTTCGGCATTCCACTCACAGCAGGAACAAGCACGAAAAAAGTTTTCCACATTGTTTCCTTCTAGAATTAATTCTTCCGTTGGTAAATTTGGACTAAAGGATACTGGTCGTGTACAAATTAAAAAATCAGTGTTCGTTGTTTTTTATGAGAAGGTTCCGTTATAGTATGAGGATATTACTCCCGCGCTTTTTTTACTCCCCAGTTAAAATCTCATATTGAATTTTTACTCCCCAGTAAAAATTGCTTATTAAATTTTTACACCCCAGTAAAAATTGCTTATTAAATTTTTACTTACCAGTAAAAATCTTATATTAAATTTTTACTCCCTAGAAGCTTGTAAAACATGATTTGAAACGAATACGTTAAGTTAGTAATTTAAATACAAAATACTAGTTGACCTCTAGCGGGTTGAAGTTGTGATTTAAATCAAGATAAAAATTGGGGGGGGGGGAGGGGCTTTAATACCAAATCCCCCATGTATATATATATATATATATATATATATATATATATATATATATATATATATATATATACATACATATATATATACTCTCTTTATATTCTTATTTTTATACAAAGAAATTGTATAAAAAATTGAGGAACTTTTGTACCTTAATTAACTTTTAATTAACGTACAAAAAGTTTTAAGTGAAAATGTTTAAGTGAAATAACAAACTTTTTTTTTTATAGAATATAAACTTTTGTTGAGATGTTTATAATTTCGCAAATTTGTATTATCACATTGGTATGTATATTCATATTTTACTGTTCTATTATTTACACTTACACTTATACACTTGCATTTTTATAATATAATAAAAAGTCATGCGAGGCAAAATTAGACAAAGTTTTTTAGTTGGAAAAAGTTCTGTTTAAACAAAGAAATGGATTAAAAATATTTTTTGTACTCTGCCCAATCAAAACATAAGATTTTAAAACGTGGTTGTACAAGCAACAATTGAACTAATCGTTCTGATCTCTCAGATTCGAATTTGCTCCAGTAAGCATAAAAATCAAAAAAACTGATTTAATCAATTTATATAAAATAGCTTTAAAACACTTTATAAAACACAGTTTCTACATCATTTTGGTTTATAATATTTTAATAAAAAATTTCTATTTGATGTCATTCAAAAATAAATTCAATTAACCAAAAATGAAACTGCGATTGCGATTGCGATACAGCCTGCCTAAAGCTGTGTGAACAAAAATACTTTTTTAATGAAGCAATTGTTTTTATTACTTTTTAATTTTAAATTTGGCTTTATTTCTTTTTAGTTTTAGCAATCGTCCTAACCATTTAACTTATAGACAAAAGAAAAAGTATTAAAAGTTTTCCCATGTAGAATCTCTAATTAAACCAAGAACTTAAACAACCCTACAAGTTCAGCGAAAGTCACCGCTCAAAAAGCCACCGCTCAAAAATGCAAAATGATCATTACTTAAATCTTTAAAATAAGTTTTACGGTGCGTACCTTGTGGACGATCCATTATAGAATTATTTTTTAAACGACATTTTGTAAATACATTATCAAAATACAAAAAAAAAAAAGAAAAGTTCTCTCAGTGGGCACAAGACGCGTTAAGACGTATAAAATACATATTTTAACGTTATGATATGTTTTTTAAATGTTTAAAATACTTCTTGTGCCCACTGCACTGGAATAAAACTTATGCCATTTTTCAATCATTAATTTTTTTATATTCTACTTTTGGTATATTATTCATCTAACGAAATATTAGGAAAAAAGTTAATTGCTTAATAAAAAAGTTGTTTGCTTAATAAAAATATTGATTGCTCAACAGAATGAGTTTATTTTGACTTTTTACAATTTGCAAATTTCTAAATAAAATATTTAAAAAAACCGTCATATATTTGAGCTGCTCAGATATGACTTAGAGGTCTTTTGCACTGCAATTGGGATAGCAATATGAAAAGCATAAATTTTTATCACGTATTTTGATTCAATCTTCAATATTTTGCACCAATATGCATGGATTTAACTTTAAACATAAACCTTAAACACATACAGTCAAATCTTGATATCTTAAGCAATAAAGAGACCGAGAAAAAAAGTTCAAGATATTGAGCATTTGAAATATCAAAAAAGTGGATAAAAATAAGTAAATTTGTCCAGCTTTCATAAAAACAAGCTATTTTTCTGACAAAAATTACTAACAACAAAAAGTTTTTGGGAAAAATCTGTCATTTGCTTCAAGTTATATTTTCCATTTTCATCAAATCCTCAAGTTTTAGTGCTAGGGATCATATTTCATTTCTGTATTTTGAGCTGTATAGCAAAGCAGTTTTAAAGTGTTTCAAAAGCATCTTCTAATTTTAGAGTAAAACACTTTTTATAGTCATTCATAAAAAAATTGTTAGTGTAAAATAATGTAAAAAAAAAAGACACAACTTTAAATTATACATTATGATTTTAACAACTTCTTCAATTTGATGAACTATTACGGTTATTAAAAAAGATTTATTTAATATTTATCTAACTAACTGCATCACAAGTTAAGTCATGTGGTAATAAGTTGTCAAACTCACAACTATAATAATTAAATAACACAAGATAATAAACAAAGAATTATATAGTTATACATACGTCCTTGAGTTCTCAAAATGGAATACGCAAGTATCATTACTTTTGTAATATCGAAGTCGAAATGAAGTCGTTAAACTAACGTTAAATCAAGGTCGAATCGAGTTAATAATTTTAAGTAAACTTTCAACGTTGATAAACGGTAGATTTTTGGTTACCTGACGTCGCGACTTAAATTCAACCGTATATCATTGTCCACTGTATATATCGAGTGTTCACTGGGAAGAAAGCAAGATTTTTATTGCTTGAAGGATAGCAATTTTTGGAATGTTTCTTTATTATTGATAGAATTAATACCCAGGCGCAAAACTTTATAGTAACTTTCCTGTCCTAAGCACGAAAAGATGATTCAAGCTTTCTTACACCCATTCTGTAATGTGTGAAAGGGTTGTTTGATGTGTTATTTTAGATTTTCAATAACAAAAAGAAAGTAATTTTTCCTCCATTTCCACTCTAGTTTCATTCTATTAAGTTGTCATATTGTTCTTCATGGAGGCACTTTTGCAAAAGAATATTTTAAAACTAGTGCTGTTCCTAAATATGCGATTATAATAATTAAAATCTAATCATACATTTAAAACGTTTAATGCTGATACATGTGTATTTGTTTATATTTAGATTAATCAAAATTTAACAAAATTTAACTGACCTTTCTTTCTAAATATAAAAGCAAAAATTAGATGCTATAAAATTCAACTCTCCTTATGCTTCTGCGGGTTTTAGAGCTTTTTTTCAGTATGGTTTCGTTTACTAGTACTTGCTGACTTCTTTTTGCAACAAACCACTTGGGAAGTCACACTTTTAGGCAACTTTTTTGTAAACATTTCTTTCTCTAGGTCTTTTAAAACCTTACATTTTTCTATATAACTTTTGTTTGTAAGTTTTTGCTTAATGAGCGGCATGCTATCGCGTTTGACTAAAACAATAATTTATTCGTTTAAAGGAATACTTTTCATTAATTAGTAATTCATAAAAAAATTGAACTTAAAAATCAAGTAATTCATAAAAAAATCGAACTTAAAAATCAAGTTTTTAAAAATTTTATATCAACACTTGTCAAAAATTAAAATTTGTAAAAATTAAATGCAATTAAAATATTTTTTTAAATATCAAAAAAAATTAAAAACTTGAGTTTGCAAGAGAAAATTTCTCAAAATTTGTGGACCAAAATGTCCATGGAACCATTTTTGTAAAGTGATTTTCTACTAATTTATATGCATACATACAAACATATATATATATATATATATATATATATATATATATATATATATATATATATATAATATATATATATATATAACGCACAATTACTGTATTAATATATAGTGTTTATTGGAAAAAAAATTTAAATAGAAGATGTTTTTATTGTTATTAGGTAAGGGTAATATTATTACCTTTCCATAAAACTAGGTTGCTTTGAAAACCGATGCTTTGTCCCAAAATCAATCATTTACGCTTGCTGCATACTACATAAAGAAATGCATAAGCCCGGCTATAGTTAATTACGGTAAGTTTTAAAAATTTCTTATTTATCTCACTACTTCAACTTCAATACTAATATTAAATGAAATAAAGTTTTTGTAAAAACAATTTTTCCACATATAAATAACCATGAGATTTTAAGTAGTATCAAGAAATAAAGTATGCAACCAATTTGTAATTTAGCAGCCGAGGCGCTGTTGTTGTGCACTTGCCTCAGAAATAAATGATCCGTGGTTCAAACCCCACCTCTGGGCAAGTTTTGCAACATCGGTTAGGAAAAAGGCGGGAACTTCCAATTAAATGCTCATCCGCGTTGCTCTGTTATAAGGCCGTAAAGACTTTTTGGCGCACCTAAAATAAAAAATTAAAAAAAAAATAAAAATTAATCAAACAAGAGAGCACTCAATCTTGCAAAATAAGTAATTCTAAAAGTTTAAATACTTCACCTATAAAATCTCTAATATAGTTTAATATAAACAATAAATACGCTTTTATATTTTTATAAAGATATATTTAACATATAAAATAGGTTGTTTTCATTGTTATTTATTTAAGAAATGGTTGCCAAGCCAACGCTGGATTTATGTAATTACGCATATAGTTGTAAAATGGAATAAAATTAAACTCTGTAGTATCCATAATATTTTATATTATGGATACTAGAGAGTTTATAGAGTATAATATTTTATATTATAGATACTACATAAAATTTCCTGATTACCCCATCCGTATTTCGAGGCCTTTCTCCCTGTTTGTAATTATGTTTTAAAGAAGAAAAAAATTCTTCTATGGCATTAAACTGCGGCGTGTATGCTGGCAGACTCTCATGGTATAGCACTTAATAGCTATACCATGTGAGGCTAGTGTTTGCCTAACAAAAAGACTCCAGTGGAATATACAATTGTCTATAACAAGCACCGGCGCTTCCACATTTGCATTCCTAATCGCTGGTGCCATCATTGTAGTTATGAAAGTACAAAATGAATCTGCATTTCAGCCACCAGTTTTTGTTTCATAAGCAAGCACTCCCTTTGTTTAAATAGCACAAATTAAACTAATATTCTTACCACAGTTTGTAGGTGACTATAAAATTGCTGGCGTACCCCTTAGCAAATAACCATAAGTGCTGTTAGTGTGCATATTAAATCCAGTTTCATCCATATAAATTAGTTTTTCATCTGAAATTCCATTTATTTTGCTTGCAAATGCATAGCGTGCATTAATAACTCGTGTTGAGTTTCGTTCTTCTGGCACATGCACAACGCTCGGATATTTTCTTAAAATACCCGAGCGTTTGAGTTTTCTTGAAATAGTAGGCTGAGACATGTTGAAGCATGCTGCAAATGGATTTTTTTTATTGCTTCTTGCGTGCAAAGATTGTTTTATTGTACGCATAATTCGATAATGTTTTTTATTTGAGAGTTTATAGGTCTTTTACCTCGTTTTTTATCAGAAAACGACTTGAATGCAGTCATGTCGTCGAATTATCCTCTGTTTAACTTAACGACAAGG